GAGGATTTTAAATTTTGGCAATCAATTCTAGCTTATTTAATTTTATGTTTACAGTGTTTGTTTTTTGAAATAACGCTAGGAAGCGAAACAATGCAAAAAAAGAGTTTCAAAAATAACTCGCCAACACATATTGATAAACAAAGTTGCCATTATATATCTACAAAATGAAATAACTCTAATCTTGCTGATCGAGGAATCCCTTAAGTGTTCGTGGAGATCGTGGTTCGGTTAGGTACATACAGACGCTGGTTTGTGTTTCTCCACACCTTATCTCTACGACTACGTGAACTTATCCAGATTTAATCCAGCTCGCAAGAGTTACAGATAATAAATTACGTAAAAAGTGTTTTCCTAAATCATGTATGTCCGAGTAAAATAATAACGAATAAGTGTGTGTTATGTCATAAGAACAATAATTTATTTGAGTTATGTGGTGGACAAAATATTATATTCGCGATACTTCATGATTTAAATTGTTTATTTGAGATGAGTTATGCGCTGATTTCAGTTGTATATTTGACTTTTGTCATTATGGAAATTGTAGACTTTAGTTATCTGATTATTTGAATTGTATATGTGTGATAACGTCATTTGTACATTTGAGTTATGTCATAATTCAGAATAATTGCAAATTTGAGTTATAATATTAATAAATTATCACAGTATTTTTGAGTCGGTTGATTGCAGCATCAATTGTTTATTTGAGTTATTTTATAATTATATGATAATTTCAATGTTATTGTTCGCTCTTTTATACACTTAACGCTTAAAAAGAAACTACTATTTTTTCTGTATAACACTATTATAGCTCATGACATTAATTCAATGCTAATAGCGTTTTAGACATGTTGTTTATATTATTTGCCGAATTTTAAGTGACGTTAATTAATCAGTTTAACATCAGTTGTCGCGACCTTGACCCATTGCTGTAAATATGTGAGCTTTTTCTTTGCAATAATCGTGCTGTAATTGATTCATTACTCGGTGTCTTGCAGTGGTTTTTATAGATAAATGTGTATACAAATGCAGTATATTGTTCTTTTGATTTATTCATTATCATACCTTCTTGTATATTCTCTTAGTTGTACACGCACTACAATGTGTATTTCTGTACTTCTGACAGCCTTTATCATGATATGAAAAGAGAATGTTCTCAAATAACAGTAAAACCCCGGCGACGCCAGTGGGTCATAGAAATACGCTGTGGTAGGTGTTTTTTCTCTCCAGTTTTATGAACGAAATCCTATTTCGTTTCAAGCGTTATCCCAAATACTGATATCTTATCTTACTTTCTGTTTGTAATCAAAAGTGTGACAACAATATAATCATGGAGAGATTAGATTTCATATTATATAATTATAGTTTATGATGATGAAAAGACTAGTTATACAATATTCCTGTTAGGCAGAATTGAAACCACCATAAAATCTTATAAAAGATAAATGATTTATATATTATCTAGGATTCTTCTGATTTCAAGTTGTGACTAAAACGTATCGTTATCAGTATTGCTCTAATAATAACCGTGTAAGTAATAGCCACAAAGAGAGGTTACAGTTAATATTGAAACTTTTTAGACTTGTTTACAATTGAAATGAAAATGAATATTGTCCTGCATACAGTTAAAATGAAAATATATTTTGACCTGTCTACAATAGAAATGAAAAATATTTTTTCCTGCTTACAGTTAAAATGAAAATATAGTTTATTTTGATCTGATTAAAGTTAAATGAAGAACATTTATATTGGCCTCTAACCTATGATATTATTTTGTTTTCGTGTTCCACAAAGGAAATCGAAAGAGCAATGCATAACAAACGCAAATTATCTGAAACAGTTTTTACCGAGGATCACATTGTGCAGTCATGACGATAACCTGAATCACAACAAATGTTTATTTTGAAAGTTGGCTTTCCTCTATCTTAAACCGGAGTAAAGAATTAACTTCCACAGGTCATGAAGAACACTCGGTTTTAATCTTTCTAATTGCCAGTAGACGTACCCACAAGACCCGTCCATGTTTGTACAGAGGAAACCTTATGCATACCGTTGCAAGCGAACGAATTCTCAAATTTCATTTGAAAGTGGAAGTTTAATAAAAATTTACTTTGATGGATGGGAATTTAGGTTGTTCAGAAGTACAGAAAAAAGGGACATTTTGGCATGGGCGCTCACATAAATAAATCTCAGATCCTACATTAAGATATTCAACCAGACCAACAAAGTAGAATTCCGGAGCACGCTTGACATGGAATACGGCAGTTCGGGCGGGCCCAGTGTAGACGTAGCGATAGCCTGTGTTATTGTATTTCGCGGTCCAATGATAACGGTTATAATTTGGAAAATACAATACACTTCTCCGAATTAAATTCCAATGGAAATTATTCTTGGATAATGTAGGCTTCAATCTGCACTATATACTATTCATTGATTGACTTGGCTTCAAAATCTATAGATACGTTTAGCTTCAATATAAAAGGAATACTATCTGTAGATAAGTTTGGCTTCAATCTGCTATATATGCTATTCGTAGATTAGTTTGGCTTCAAACTATAATGAATACTTTCCATTGATAAGTTTGGCTTCCAATTTGCACTGTATATTGTTCCTCGATATGTTTCACTCAATATATACTGGATATCATTTAAATATCAACTTAGATACAAAATTCGCTGGATTTTATTATAAATTAGTTTGTCTTCAATCTTCGCCGAGTATCATTCATAGACAAGTTTGGCGTCAAGCTACACCGGATACTATTCATAGACAAGTTTGGGGTCAAGCTACGGCGGATACTATTTATAGATATGTTTGAGGTCAATCTAGGTCGGATACTATTCATAGACAAGTTTGGGGTCAATCTACGGCGGATACTATTGATAGATATGTTTGAGGTCAATCTAGGTCGGATACTATTCATAGATAAGTTTGGGGTCAAGCTACGTCGGACACTATTTATAGATATGTTTGAGGTCAATCTAGGTCGGATACTATTCATAGATTAGTGTGGCGTCAAGCTACGTCGGATGCTATTCAAATATTACTATTGCGTCAAGCTACTCTGGATACCGTTTAAAGATAACTTCAGATTCAAGGTTTGCGGGATAGAATCCTTAACTTTGTGTGGCGTCATTTCACGCCGGATACCGTTCATAGAAAAGTTTGGATTTAATATGAAGAAATATTGACGCCATAGTGATTGATCCGACTTCTAACACTGGAGTTCAAATATCACGAAGTAAATGAAACAGGTACCCCATATAGAGCAGGAAATGGTTACCCTTCCGTGATACCAGGGTTATTATCCGTTTATTGTACCTCATGTCGTCCCCTTGGGGATTTTGTCTTCGGTCCTGTTAACTCGCATCTCTAAGCATTCAAGACACAATCATACCATATCGTTATTTGTATCCTATAGGACTGCATCCAACGACTTCTCGTTACATAACATTCTAAACCATTACTAGGAAGTACAATAACAATATCTTGTTGAGGTTGAAAATGTTCAGTATCTTGTTAGCAGTCATTTTAAAACGTGATCTCATCTCACTGCAACACGTGTTGTTATCAATTGGCAGTTTGATCAACTGAAGAATACATATCGGTGAAACAGTTGTAATCTGGCATCGCCTAACAGAAATAAACAATTATCAAACAATCTTGCCGTGAAGCTGTGTGAAGCTTCACTGTGGTTCCATGCACTTACTAAACCATCACTAGTCAGCATTTTAGTGTGACATACAATCCTGCCTATTTAATCTAGCCACCACGAAACCGGTCGTCATACATACCAGTCGGTATTTTAGGGGGCAGAGTTGCAGTTTTCCTCGCAATATTGTCCAAGTATTCAAACAAGTCCCATAGCCTAGTTTTTTTTTATTGTGAACGAAATGGTTAGTTTATCGCTGCTTCACCGTATACCATTTACGGGAATACTATATCTATTTCATTCTAAAACCACAGTGGACATGCATAAGAGACTTCAAAATCTTCTTGATTCCAGGGTAAAGCACGCATACAGGCCATATGGACATCAAAAACTATTAGACATCAGGATAAACACGTGGACAGATGACAAGGACATCAAAACTACAGGACATCAGGATAAACACGTGGACAGATGACAAGGACATCAAAACTACAAGACATCAGGATAAACACGTAGACAAGATATGGGGATAAAAACTTGACCAAGACGTTAAAGTGTACCTCTATTAACACGACATCAAAAACTATGATAATCACAACCAACAGACGAGAAACAAAGTAATGAAAGAAGTCCTCAGAGATCCTACCCAAAATACCAGATAAGCATCACCACCCAAAATACTAGATTATCATCACCATGCAGCAAGATAAACCAGTTTATCTCATTATCGGCAAAGGAGAAATGAATCCTTAATTCGAATTATTCATGTTTATCACCTGGGGCAAAACCTCGGATTTGTAAACCAACTATATAGTAAAAAGAGGGACATAAACCAAAGACCCCAACATGCCAGATAACAACACAAAGGGAAGAAAAGCAAGGCCACCAAAACCTCGCACTAACATCAACAAAGGGCACGGCACACCGTCATAAAAATCTTCCAGAAAGAGATAATACCGTTTACATCTTCCAACGTATCATCAACGACAGCAATCAACAACAACCGACGACAAACAAATAAAGGAAACCTTAACAATATATGTTTCGATACGGACGCTAGGTGATGGTGAGAATCAAATCAAATTTTAAACAACTATTTAGTGACATTTTGGTTTTAATTTTTTTGTCTTTGGTGAGTTTTCTCATATGCAGCCTTCCGTCCAAAAGTATTTCAATGTACAAGTATATTGAGCAATTCGTTTACTATTGTGACAATAGAAAAATATTTTACTTTGAAACACTCTCTTTGTGGGTAACATAGAATAAACCTTTTTACATTTTGACCATAATGATATTATAGTTGACGTATACACATATTGCAATCGTATAAGATAGTTAAAGAGATACTTACCCATGTTTTGGTTTATTCCTAGCGACATGATTTGCCTGGTTATCCTGACAGACACCACCTCGACGTGTGTGCGCGTGAGTGGGCAGACACTACATTACAGACACAACACTTGATTCCGGGCGTTGTGACTCCTTACTGTGACTCCTTACTGGTTACTCACCGCTCGTGATGGGCAGTGGTTCTCCGAATATGTATTTGTTTCTCAATATTAGTAGGTTTTCCACCAGTGTTTTAAAGTGTGTGCGTGTAAAAACCCGTCATCATCGGCTTTAGTGCTAAGTGTAATAATAAGAAACAGTACAATAGTTATGATCGGTCAGGTTTTTCCTTTTAAGTGTAAGGAGTCTGGAAAATACAGCGATCAGGTTTTTACGCCAAACGATACAGATGACATGACGCAACTTCAATTTAACAGTCTCCTTAAATAAGGTCTCAATACAAGTATCTGACCACCTATTGCAGTATTTGTGTTTTATCCAAGGACAACCCCAGATACTATATACACATCACGTTTCTCTGACGACCAGGAAGCGGAGGAAGTTCGTCTAGCCGGGGATTGTTTATTTGTTAGTGGTTTATTTATATCGTCACAGGAGATCACGGGTCACTGGACAACTGGTTTCTGGAGACCAAACCGAAATCAGAAAGCAACAGTGTAGAGAAAGGAAACTAGACATATTCTGTAATACATGGGACACAACATAACATTATAAGTCTGTGAGAAAGCGAAAGGGAATCGGTTAGGTGCATGTTATGGCAATGCATTAATTTTAAGGGCGGTCAGAGGTCAAGGGTCAGATAACAGAGTAAAGAAGGTCACAGGTTGTAAATGAAGCAGACCCTCAAAAAAACAAACGTGTATTGTTCGTGTCAGGAAACAAAAAAGTAGGTTCAGCAAAACTGGCTCCTGCTTATTACATATAACAAACCACATCTGTTTAGACAAACAATTCACGTGTACGTGAATACGTGTGTGTATATGCATTACATTGTAAGGTGCATGACAACATATAGGAAGGACATCGGTTATCACAACTTCCAACATCGAGTAAGCTTCCGAAACCTCGATCACGCGCCCTCACAAACAATATAACAAATCATGACTCGAAGGCAGAGGTCATAGCGAAAACTTAAAACGTACCATTATTTATATACGTTTCTGTGTCGCTGTTTTATTTTATTAACAGTTTAAACCTAGTACACGTGCCAGATACCGCGGGAGTGGCAGGAAGGGTGTTATTACCAGCAGCTGTGCCATGTCGCCAGGGATAAGTTTTAGTGGAAACATTTCCTCTAATTTATTTCTGCGCAAAGTTGTGCAACGTAAAGATTTGTCAAATTGATAGATAGAGTGCCAGCTCTAAGCTAGAGCAGACTATAAAATAAGCATTTTGATTTAAACAATATGCGTTCTTCAATTTTCCAACTCGCTGTCGCATCTGTGGGGAGCGTCCGCACAAAGTAAACAATACACGTGAAATATATAACAAAACATGTTTCATTTCAGAACATTCTGTAGTTGGTTTTCTTGGGTTATTCATAACTTGAGATTTCGGAGAATTCATTACATTAGAGGATTACAGAGAGATAGAGGATGTACAATGATTAATATTTAAAACGGAAATATCTTTCCGTTTCTTCCTGAATCGCTCAAACAGCATAACCTCTCTGTATTTGTATGTACCTGTAATATGATACATACTAAGTCGGTTTTCTCATATTGGTTTGTTTCTTTTATCGATTTTCTGCTTCTATCAAAATGACGGTGTTAAAATGCTTCGTTGCAATAAACAAATACTACCAAAATTGATTAAAAGATATATACTCTATAACAATTTCTTTCTTTCTAAAAATCTTTTTGATATTTCCCAAATACATTTTCCTTTTCGCAATAGTAGCACACAGTTGATTGGCTACTCTAATGTCCATTCCAACCGTCAATAAGTTATGGATGTTTGTTTCCTAGATAAACTAAATAAATAAACTGCTCGGCCATATCTTATCTGACTAAATAACGCTCGAAATGAATCAAAATATGTTTAGCCGCATAATGTTAAAAACAACGAAACTTTAATTGCAAATGTATTTTTGTGGAAAGACTAAACAGAGGGTCACAAGGAAGAAAACAAGCATATCTTCCGGTAGAGATCACGACGAAATAGTTACCTGCCTTACGTGATTAACGACTTATATCATTGATAACATGCATATAATTAAGTCCCCCAAAACAAAGTTTTGGGGACTTATTGTTTTTACTCCGTTTCTTATTATTAAGTCCCCCAAAACAAAGTTTTGGGGACTTATTGTTTTTACTCCGTTTCTTATTATTAAGTCCCCCAAACATGGTTTGGGGACTTATTGTTTTTATTCCTCTGTGTTCTTTTTCTTCTTCTTCTTCAGCCATGAACTTGTCCAGAGGTTTTCTCAAAAACTATTCAGCGGATCATCATGAAACTTCACACACATACTCATTAGGGTGCCTAGGTGTGCAACAGGCTATTTTTATCACGACCAGAAGTCAAAGATGGCCGCCAGAACCTTACTTCCGGTTTTGGAGTTTTTGGCTCTGATTTCGTAGAAAATTGGTACATAAGGGTTTTCAGGGCTGCCGAAAACAATGGACACAGTTTCAAACAGCTCAGTTGTCATGTTAACGAAATGGAAGCCTCTGATTGGTCGAAAATGGAGGCCTCTGACTGGTCGAAATTTAGCTGTTGTCTGATTCTGCCACAAATTGGTACATAGGGGTTTTCAGGGATTCATAACACAATGATAACAGTTTCGAAAAGTTCAGATGCCATGGTAACGAAATGGAGGCCTCTGATTGGTCGAAATTTAGTTGTTTTCTGATTCTGCCCAAAATTGGTACATAGGGGTTTTCAGGAATTCCGAACAAAATGATAACAGTTTCGAAAGTTCAGTTGCAATGGTAACGAAATGGAGGCCTCTAATTGGTCGAAATTTAGTTGTTTTCTGATTCTGCCCAAAATTGGTACATAGGGGTTTTCAGGAATTCCGAACAAAATGGTAACAGTTTCGAAAAGTTCAGTTGCCATGGTAACGAAATGGAGGCCTCTGATTGGTCGAAATTTAGATGTTGTCTGATTCTGCCTAGAATTGGTACATAAGGGTTTTGAGGGATGCGAAAACACGATGGTAACAGTTACGAAAGATTTAGTTGCCATCGTAACGAAATGGAGGCCTCTGATGGGTCGAAATTTAAATGTTGTCTGATTCTGCCCAGAATTGGTACATAGGGGTTTTAAGGGATGCCAAACACAATGGTAACAGTTTCGAACAGATCAGTTGCCATGGAAACAAAATGGAGTCCTCTGATTGGTCGAAATTTAGCTGTTGTCTGATTTTGTCTATGTTCCTAAGTCCAACAGGGGTCGTTTGGGGGACTAATCTGTAACGGCCATCCGTTACAATTATTACTAGTGTCAATTGTTTCTACTTTTCTGTGATGCTTAGAAGTTTTATCGTAATGGGACGTTGACCTGAAATCTCCCTACACCTGCGCGAGAAATCAACAATACAATAGCGATTAGGGAATTTCCTTGGCTAAAGATATATGACCAATCAGAAAGCAACGGTGTCGATCGTCAGACAGTAAACAATAGCAGACGGCAGGCGATACACAGATACTGATAGCCGGGAGGGAAAAACTACAAGGTTGGTTAGTGTAGTAGATCCAGGAGATCTCATTGATGAAAATTAAAAAGCTATTGAATTACATTGAATAGGCCGTAAACATTGTCAGGGGCTATTTAGCAAAAAGAAAGGACAACCAACTTACTTTGAAACTTTGTTCAAAAACTGTTAAGTATGAAAACGTATTTGGCATGCTTTTGTTTGTTTCTTTGTTTGGGTTTTTCGTCCTATTAACAGCTATGGTCATTTATGGACGTGCCAGGTTTCGGTGGTAGAGGATTGCATGCAATACATCATATTAATATACAATATCAGCTCGCTCGGGTCAATAAATACCAATGTAAACTTTGAGGGCGTTGTCATGCAATTCTAAGATTCAGAGTTCCTAGTTGAGAATATCTTTGTTGAGTTTGGTGGCAAGATTTACACCCTTGTCAAACAAACTGTGCCGCTCTTCTCGCCGACTTGTTTTTCTTTTCTTTTCTTTTAAGGCTTAATTTATCGATGTGCTTGTTGGAAATGGTAACAAAAAATAACTATTTCCCTTAAAACAACAAGATATGAAGTGACCACGCCGTCCATATATATTCTCCCGAGCATAAAATCAATGACACTACATACCTTCCACTCCGGCCGCTGTCCTCCGATCCTCAGGTTTGTTAAGTGTCGGTCATTAAAAGAGGCATACTCAATGTTCTAGATAATTTGCATACCGATCATCTGTGCGATAAACGGGACGATTTCGATTTCCAAGTCGTGTACTTTCCTTTTCTTGACAGTGACAGCCGTGTTTCCCAACCCAAGGTGTTAACATGTTGCATTTAATTGGGTATTAAAGAGCTTGCTCAGAAAATCATGATATCCGTGATGATATCAAATGCAGACGGACAAACTTTCTACACCTGGTTTCCAAAGATACAGGTTGATCGTGATTATGAACAATTTTTTATGATCGCCATTATGATCTCATTTGGAAATATTACGTTTCTTGGCGCGATATGAAGGTCAATGCTATTTTTTTCAATTCTCTATTGCTTTTCTTGTTGTTTTGTTGTCAATACCAGTTTTCGCTATGGGACGTGTATTACATGGATTTTACTTAGATTTACATGGCCAGTGTAGTCAAGGCAGCAGAAGACGCTTACCCTTCCGGAACACCTGTTCGCATTATCTTTGAACTTGTCCACTGGTCTCCATGTAAATCTTTTCTTTGTTCATATTTTGACTTGGTTATATCGATTTTTGAGTTCGCATTATGGATTGGTTGACACTTGGGTAATCCCTTGTTGTTTATTCTGTGGCAAGTGTTTTTTTTTTTTTTTTTATTTGTTCTAAGAACTTTGGAGAAGTTGAAGCTGATGCAATATTCAAAGTCTAGATTTTGCATTTTGAATATTTCGCGTGACATTAGGCAGTACATTGTAACATGTTGATTTGTGCAGATAATTCATGCGTTAGCATGAGAATTGTTTCATGATTACGTGCCGGATATTTGTTATTCTGTTGGAATTTCAGGCATATGAGACCCGGATGTATGTAAAACAAACCGGAAACACAACTTACACTGGCACGTGTCGGGTTTCTCATGTACGTGTGTCACCAGCCACTGTAACATGCTTACCTAGTTGATGGAGGATAAATTTGAATTACCAAAACCTCACAGACCATACCAACACAGTAATAAATCATAACTCTAACATCTTAATTATATTTAGTTTAGATAATACATTTCAGTATACACAGTTACCAGCATGTATTAAGTTTGCCGTTTCTGATTAATTTCTTTGTAAATAAACATAATACGTGATCCCTAAAGCCGCAAAAAAAGAACACGCAATATA